TTTTCTTCCAAAGTTTTACCCCATTATATTTTTGAATTTTTCTTTCTTGATCTTCTGAATTTTGTCCAGTGATGTTCCCCAGATATTTTAATTTTTCTACTTGTTCTATTATTTTCCCATCTATAACAATTTTAACTCTCCTCATTTTTTTGCCTTGGAATGCCATAGCTTTAGTCTTATTTGTCGAGATTTCCATGTTGTATGTTAGAGCTATCTTATGAAATTCATTTGCTGCCCTCTGCTAGTCATCATCTTATTCCACTGTTAGGATCATGTCATCTGTATAGAGCATCATTTGGACCATTTGTATTTTGTTTAAATTTATATTGATTTTCACTTTTTGATCATGTGGTTTACATATGTGTTAAACAGGCATGGTGATAGCCCACAACCGTCTCAGTCCTCTAGTTGTTCTAAAAGTCTCTGTATTGCTTCCATTATTCATTCTTACTTTAATATGAGAGTCTGTATATACTCTGGATTCCATTTATTATGTCTGAAGGTATCTCTGCATCTTCCAGTATTTCCCACATTTTATTTCTGTTCACCCTATCATAGGCTTTCTCAAAGTCTATAAAGAGGAGGAAAGTTGTAAAATTCACTTTATTTTATATCCCCAGGATTGTCTGTACTGCAAAAATAGCATGTTTTGTACTTCTGTCCTTTCTAAATCCATTTTCTTCTTCTTCCAAGAATTTTTCGCTATATTCATTTAATCTACAACTTAAGATATTAGCAAAAAGTTTTGATACTGTAGACAGGAGAGTGATCCCTCTAAAGTTGTTGAAATCTGTTTTTGTTGTGTATAGTTGTGTAAATTTCTCACTATGGTAAAAAATTATGGTATTAGTTCCATATTCAATGTGCTCTGAGTTTTTGAAAATTGTTAAAAGTTAACATTTCAAAACTACAAAATTGGAGATAGAAATTATTGCCTTTGACAAAGTCTTTTTTTAAAAGAATTGGTACATTAAAAGAAGGCCATATATGGTTTTTTGAAATATCGAGCAATTTTCGTGTAATTTGAGCTTGATATAATTGCACTTTATGAAGAAAAACACATTTTCACAAATACCGCTCCCAATTTTTTCCACAGTTAAAACAAGAGACGCTTAAAAGAATAGTATGGCCTCATTTTCGTTGAACACTCTGAATTTTTTAAAATTGCGAATTTAGAGACAATGAGCAAAAATGTTTACTATTGTGGCACCAGTGTTTTTTTAAATTGTATTTCGCTTACATACAATTTGTATAAATTATTGCATTTTTGACTACAAGTTCTTCAGTCTTATAAAGTTCCTCAAAAACTTAAAACCTTATCTGTAAAAATGAGTTCAAAATTACGCATTTTTAGAAATGTTCAAACGCCATTTTCTCAAAAAAAGCTCAGACTTGTTTCTTCACCCTTTTTTATGGATACTGCTTAATGCACTTTATTATATGACAGAAACACCATTTAGTTGAATTCTTATGTTTCTTCAAAAATTACTCATATGTATTTTTTTTTTTACGGTATCTCTCACATAAATATTTACATTATGGGGAATTTCGGGGGGGGGGATACATCAGGGGATGATAGGGATTACATTATCGAGTACAATTGCTTGAGATAATTTCCTATAAAGATTCTCGAAAGTTTTGGGCGAAAAATAACTTCAAAATAAACGTTTTCAGAAACGTTCAAATAACATTTTCTTAAAAACAAATCCCAAGTTTTCAATGAAAATATATACATAGAACCAGGTTTGACCCTTCAATAACATTTTTAAAGTCCTATTTCTGTTCTACTATTAGGGATCTGACAAACTGAGAAAAAGTGAAAAAAAATGTCTGAAGGACCTATACATGGCAGCTAAGAAAAGAGTGAGGCAAAACCACCAAAATAGTAAAGACTGAGGAAACTAACTAGCATGAGAAAGTCTGTTCTATTCTGTAGCACCACCAGTTCATTAGATTGTTTTTCAGTTTGTTCAAGATTATTTTAGCATGAAAAATCATTAATTAACTTTATTTTTCAAATTGCTAATAAGGTCTGGTTAATTCCTATGTTATGTGATCAAATATTGTAATATTTATAATAAACAATAATTTATTACAATGTACAAACCTTTTTTGAGAAAAACTAAATGTTTATTTTGATTTCAATTTAGGTTTATTTCTCTGGCACTTGCCTGCTTGAAAATCTCCAATCACATACTTTCAAAAGGAAGCATCTCAGTAAGTGAATGTTATTACTTTAGGAAGGTGAAGTGGAGGACAATAAAAAAGACACATATTGTAACCATGGTTCATCAGTTTTTATCTGATGCGCGTTAATGAATATACAACACAATGAAATTGTACTAGAAGTTACAGTTTTGCACAATCAAATAACATAATTTACTGCACTAGAAAAAATGAACACAAATGCTGCATGCTTTCTCAAATTATTATCATTGAAAAAGTTTTTACTGTATAAATTCATCTTTCAAAAAAGTTTTTTGGTATAAAAAAACAACATATTCTTTGAAAAACAAATGTATTCATTTTCTCTGTGCATACATGAAACAACAGAACCTTCCATTTTTTGCTACTACAAAGCTATTAATTATCAAAAACTGTAGGTTCCATTTATAAGCAGTTTCTTTATAATATTCTTTGGGCCCATATTGTAGGTGCATATATTATTTATATATAAAACGTGTTAGCTACACTACAACACTAGACATCAAAACATACCTGAGCAAAATTAATTTTCATAGTTCAGCCCTTCAAGAGAACTTTCATACATCTGGCCACACGCTCATGGAAGAACTTCAAATCTTCCATCAAAATAATATTTTAGTTAATTGGTTACCTGCAAGCAGTATGTTTTCTCTGTAAATTCACTTGTTCCAAAACTGGACTTTTGTACTCTTGATTTTGGTACCTCATTATTTCAAGTCGAATTACAGAGTTATTAGAACTTAAAAGTACAAAAAAGAAAACTTCCAATTCTAGGGTAACATTTCTGGAAGGTTTGGAAATGCATAGATATTTCCAAAATTAAATATACATATAGTTCAGCAATATCAACACTTCATAATTTTGTAAACTATCAAAAAAATACAAATTAGTGTTAATCGTAAATAACTATAACATTACAAACAGTTACTAAATGAAGTTTCTACATGTGTACAATTTGTACACTTACCTTGGATATCCCAAGAATGAATATGATGTAACAATACTAAAACTACTTTTCATTAACAAACAACAAAGAAGTGTACATGTATTTATATAGGTTGTGACAGGTGTACAAAGTATTATATTTATGACAATAAATGTATTATGAATATGAATATTAAACATTTTTACAGAACATTGTGTAACCAAGTAAAATGAAATACATTTCTAAGAATATAAAGAACATTACATTACATATCATATACATACAATTACATTTACACATAAATACATGGTGAGCAATGCATGTGTTTGGTGATACTGTGTAAATACTAGCACATTTATATATTAAATCTTTTAAACACAGGTGGGTTATTATTCTACATAGTGTCTACGACAAGTACACCAAAAAACAACATATGATACTCTCTCCAGATCAACAAAAACATAACAAAGACATGAAAGTACTACATAAAACAGGACAGTCTCAATGTGAAATCTTAATAAAAATGAGGAAGGTATGTAACATAGGAAAGCACTATTCCAAGGGAAAAAAACATGATAAATGAATTAATCAGTATTACAAAATATTCATGTTGCTTCAATTACTTAATATTATTGCATTGTAATAGTTGAAAGATATATGGAACAAATGAGAGAGAAAAATAAATAATGCCCCTGATGAAGGAAATACAAGCCCCATAAGGACAGGTGAAATCCTTGAATAGAAAGTGATATCCAGTAAAATCTACTTAAAAAGTAACATCCTGTTTGCACACCTGTGATGTTTATATCAGCACATGTCTGCATGATGTCATCTACCCTTACCTGCAAATCAGCTTTTTTTATGGAAATAAGAAATTTCCCATTTGAAAACAATAATTCAATTAATTTATTTATTTAACAAATGTAATAAAAATTATACAAGTTTCAACATTTTTCATTGAAGGTAGGGTAAGACTTCATGGAAATTGTTTTTGTTTTTGCGATAATAATTGGCTGGAAAGAAACTTGAGCTGATGTGTTGGATGTCCCTTCTCGCAGTGAGTACTGGCCTAAGGGATTGGACTTTATACTTCCTGTGGCAGCATGTCCCCTCCTCTCCTGTGAGGTTTTAAAAGCCTTTAGTGCTCGAAAAACTTCTTCCTCTCGGCCACCATCCCACTGAGAGGACTTGCAGAGTTGCTGGAGGCTGAGGGGGAGCGGAGGGGGGCAATCCATAAAAAAGACGACGATTTCGGGGACTTCTCGATATCGTCGTTCATATTGGTAAAACAGCTTTTTGGATACCGAATCAATTCTGTAATCAATACAAGTATAAATATATTGTTGGATCTTTCTACATTTGCTCTTTGATGGAAATTACACACTGTACAAAAACACTTTTGTAAAATACTTAATGTAACTGTCGCTACTATCCTTGGTCAATCAATCAATAAGCAAACTCCATTACCAATCATTAGAAAATTTTCATAGAAATCACATGTGAATGCAAACACACAAATATGTGAACTTCCATAAAACACACATTTGGGACTATCTTTTACACAGAACAATAGTTTGAAATAATTAGTTTTAATTACTAATATTTATGAGCAGACAAAGAAAAACAAGTATTTTATATCACAACATTTACATCATGTACTGTAACCTTTCTCATGGAAGAATTGTTTTTTTATATGTGGTAACAGAGTCTCAATAAACTTACGAGATACATTATCACAATGAAAGGTAATAACTTGAATTACTTTTTAGGGGTACACACAATGAATAGATTGACATTATCGAAAATAAAAGTTAATCCTCCCAACTTAAATCACTGGAAGCAAAATACCCTTTTTTCATTTTCTAAAGATCGATCATAACTTGCAAGGAGGAAAACTTTACAATTTTTTTTCCAAAACAGAGAAAGGTTTTCATTGTCATATGTTAAAATAATATGTACAACCAAAAACATAACAAGTTTTTCATCTCTGTTTTTCCACAACAACAAATTTTTCTTCTCTATTTTTCTCTTTCTAATTTTTTCCTTTGTTTCTTTTGTTCTTTCTTCTTCTCGAAGGGCCATGCATTATCTTTGGAACTTATACTATCTACCATACGATTTTCCCATTAATTTACAAAATACAAATCTTATTTCAAAATTGTTACCTGCACTGGAGAGAGCTGGCGGTTCCTTGGGCTGTTTGTTACTGCCGTTGCTGCTGGTGTCGTCGGTCCTGGGACTAGAACAGGGTTCCTTGAGAATTGGGCTGGACTCATTTCCCTTGGACATGCCAACTGGGGAGCCTGAAAGAAAAATTCACTTTCAGAAAACTTTCCTGTCCATTTGAACCTTCTACTGAAATACATACATGAAGTTTATAGGTTCCAAGAGACCAGTGGACGAAGACTAAAATGAATGCATTTAAAGACAACATTTCAGAAGGGCACCAGGAACTATGAGTGAAAATTTTGCATGCAATTCCTTTAACTTTCTTTCTCTTATTGATTACCCCTTTTGGTGTTCATGGCTTTTAGAATTTGAAAAAAACAGTTACCAATGTAATATGTTATGAAGCTCACAGAAATTATAACCATTTCATGACTTTCTATTATTACTATTACCAATTATTATTTTTAAAGAGCATTGATGAAAAGGAATTAACGAAAAAAGTATGATTAAATTTGAATACATTTTAGGTTTCATCTATTTTATTTTACTTTCAGGAAGAAAAAGAAAAAAAGCAGTCAATACACCTTGTAGCAGGAACTAAGTAACTAAATAGACTTGATTTGTAATACAAGTGGATACAAGTAATATTCAAATTGCATTTGTTTCAAAATTATCAGCCTGTGCCCATCCCATGCCTTTTTCTGATCTAAATAATCAACAAAAATATAATATTCAAAGTATAATTGTCTTTTCAGAGATTGAGAAAGTATGAATTTTCTATAGACTCTTCTTATACCTTTTTTATTTGTTTAAGGGATTATAATTATAAGTGGTGTTGATAAGATAATGCTTTTTTATGTTTTTAGAACTATAAAAAAGGTTTGTCCTTAGACAATCTCTAAGAAGACCTTCCTCTAATTAATTTAGATGTTTTAAACCTGAGAATACACAAAGAGTTGATAACTAATCACAAAGCCTAAGTAAGTGAGCTTTTGTCCAATGGCAAACCAATCACATTATCTCAAATTATTATTAATAATTATTAATTATTAATTATTATTATTATTATTATTATTATTATTATTTATTATTATTATTATTATTATTATTATTATTATTATTAATCGGACTCAATATATAGGGGGCACAGATATCAAACACAAATTCATGCACACATGCTCACAGTTAAAGATGGCTCCACCACCAATATCATGGGAGCTGTAGAATGCTGTTCCTCTACCATACCTGGGTTGTGAAGAGTTTGAGGAGCAGCCATCAGGAGCAGTTGAGACCACAATTGTGACAATGCTGCTTCCTTGCCGGGTCTGGCCTCTTTGCACAAATGTGCAAGAGTGTTCGGCTCGTCCCCATGCTGTTAGTGGTCACACATAAGCATACCACTGACAACAACACTCCTAACTTAACTCTGTTCAGTGTTTCTCTTCTAACCATTACTCATTTATTTGATTTTTCTACTTTCTTTGAGAACTTTTGTTTTGTTTCCAGAGCAAATGAAAATATATTTGAATTATCACACACATTCTGAAATACATACTCAATGCAACAAAATCTGTCCAGGGATTCTGAGACTGCTTTCTGTCTCCAGCAAGACTAGCCTAAATTTAACTGATAACGTGAATGCATTTTATACCTGCAAATATTTGTTGATCTTAGCTTCTATTTTTGTCAGTTGTTTGTCTGGCTGTTTTGTTGTTCAAACATATTTCTGAGAAACTTTTCAACAAGAATCCTCAACAAATTAGAAAACAGCGAGTTCTAGCTATTGAATACATTATGAAGCTTTTACAATTCAAACACAATGTTATTCATCTTAATATTTTAAATAAAAGAAATGATTTTCAGAAGAGAAACCCTGATATTCTACATTATCTGATGAACTCTTGCCTCTTGGTCTTCCAGCAATAATTTATTAACTTTGTATAGATTATAATTTAAATGACTCTTTTTGTTCTCTCTTCAACTATTCCAAAAATTCTTAAAACAATTTTAGAAGTTGAGACTATTTCAAGAAATGGAAAATAAATATAATAATTTTTTAGTTGGCAATTGGTAAACAAAGTCAAAAGTTTTAATTCATGGTCCTTCTCTGTAATATGTACATGAAAATATCAAGCAAGAGTTCACTAGTTTAAAAAAAAATATAAGACACTTTAATTTGAAAGATTTGAAAATGTGAAATAATTTTTAAAATATGAAAAAACGTCAAATATGTAAGAAAACAAAACAACACAAAATTATATTTAAATTAAAATGTACAGACTTGTTGCCAACATCTACAAACAATAAAGAAATAGAAAAACAAAACACCAATTGAAGAATGTGAAAGAAGCACCAAAAATGTGGCAGAAAATAAGCAGAAAGAAACAAAGCACTTCATAATTTTCTTTTTGCTCAAAACACCTCAGAAATCTAACCAACAATATTTCCAGTCTTCAATTATATGAGCAAATAAGAACCTATACTTTAAGGTTCCATAACCTACCTTTATTCTGATGAATTTCAAGACCAAAGTTGGAAGAAATATTAACCAACAACCATTCACATGCATACATGCAGATTGTTCACAAGCCTTTTGAGGATTTGGTTCATGTTTATAAATATACAAGAGAGTTTATTTCATTTTCACTAACTTAAAAAACTATGACTAAATTTGAACCATTCACACTGAAGGTAAGAACCAATACCAGGAACTCAAAATAAATTCATGATCTATTAGCACATGCACAATATAATTAAATGCTCCAATGCTCTAGTTGTTAATAATATAACAAACATCAAAACAGTAATTTTAGGGCCACATTTCTAATCTTTGCAAAAAAAAAGAGTTAATTCCACCATTTGATACAGAAAATGCTTTCAGCAAGGCGAAAACATATTAACTATGATCTTTAATCGATGGTTTTAGCTTTGTTACTTATGAAAATGCTGCATATCTCTATGTTTATATAATCTAAACATACGAAGTTTTCTGTTAACTTCAAAGAGGACACCTTTCCCAAGATGTTGCATTTTCCAACACTGAATTGAATGTGTGTGTGCACGTGTACATGTGTGTGAGTGTGCACGTGGACTGATGTGCGTGAGTGTGCGCATGGACTGAACAGCAAATAGGGATGTTTCCAATTTAATATTATTTAATTTCTCTTTCATTTGTTAGACCAGAAGCTTGCATCTCTGGGGCTGTTGGATATGCAATTGATTTGTTGATAAATCTCATAGGTAATATTAGCATAACTGAAGAACTAGTAGAAATACGGAGAATTTGGTTTCAAAGTAGCAAACCAAGTGACAGTTGAATACTTTTGTAAAGTTAAAAATATATTAAATAAATCATTATCATGAAACTACAAGACCTCAGTAAAGATGAAATATAATCACATTACAAACTTTATAACTAGATCAAATTTATTTAGAATACTTATATTCGTCATACTGCATATAACTTGTTTTGCAGCTCATTGTGGAAAATTATTTTCAATGGAAAAGAAAGATCTTAAGAAAATGAATAATAATTATTATAAAATAAGCTTATATTTGTTGAAAAAATAACAGTAATGCAGAAGAAAAAGGAGAAGCCAAGAACACACAAACATTAACTTTCTAAAATTATGTCATTCTAGTTTAATTTAAAACAGTATTAAAACATGCATACAAAGATATTTCTTCTTTTGATACTTACCAGGCTATCCTGATCCCTGGAGGAACTGTTTGAATTTTCCACTTGTGCCTTCAATTTCTTGTTCCTTAAACAATTGGTTTATTATGAGTTTTGCAAAAAATGGTATTTTCACAAAAGGATACAACTGATTAATTGAAAAATCTTACAAATAAAACAAAAATTCTGTTCTTTGGACAATGCAAACATAAACCCCCAATTTCTTCTATTTAATTGACTTAAAAATTGTTAATTAAGATTAACCATATCTAAAGTCAACTTTACATACCTGGCATCCAGTTGTATAATATGCTGATGGGCCATTGCTAACTGCTCTTCAAGAGTTGCAGATTCTACACATTTATTGGAGTACTTCTCTGATAATGATAAAATCTCTTTCTTGATTCCTTCAATTTCCTCACTGTAAAAATCATAGAAAAATGTTAGAACTTGTAACCTGAAGAAATGAAAAAACTAAAAAGTGTTTATGAATAAATCTTACATGTGCTCCTTATGTAAGGCACCAAAATCCTTTGAATACTGCACTTTTTTCATGAATTCAGCCTTAAATTTCGCAATTTCCTTTTGAACTTCAATCTCGTGAGCTTTTCTCATAGCATCCAAAGCTACAAAAATACAAAGAGACTTTTCATCAAGAAGAAATGTGTTATTATACAATATAATAGTGCACTTGGAAAGAACAACAACAGAAGAACATAATTATAATTGTATGAATATTTTAGCCAGAATACATCTATTTTGATTATTTTCGCAACTTAATAGCAAATTCACCAAACAATATTTTTTTCTCACAAGGTAAAATGGGTAATGGTGGTTCTTCATATTTTACCTGCAAGAGTAGCCTGCGTTTCTTCAGCAAGAGCCTGGTCCTTTTCTTGGCGCATTTGTTCCAACTCTTGTTGATGTTTTTCTTCCATTTCGGCTATAATACGACGATGACTCTTCTCCATAGCAATAAGACCCTTCTCACACAAAGCCTAAACCAAAAAAAGAAAAGAAAATCTTTTACTCTGATGGGCCTTAATTGAAGTGAGCAAAACAGAAGTTACTGGACATGAAAGTGAATAACATTAACTTCTTAATGACACTAAATGAAAGACTAATTTGGTCCTGGTTGAAAATAAACTACTAAAAGCACCATACATTTTCCAAAATTACAAGTTACAACTGAAAGGAAAATGGAAAGAAATTTCTAGGCGAGAAAAATGATAGATCTACCTTCAAATGTTCCACTTCATACTGATAACGCTGTTGTATGTTTTTGTCATCAAATCTGTCAACAGAACCTGATGCTATAGTTTTCTCATAGAGGCTGCGAAGATTTGCTACTTGCTGATTATACTCAGAATCAAGAGAATCCAGCTGCATTTGTAGCTGCTGGGCTTTCTCTCTCAATTCCTCATTTTCTTGTTGATGTTTAGAAATCTAAAAGAAATGTTTTTAATAATATTTTTACCTTGCTCAGAGATAAGAAAATAAACTATACCATAATAAAAAACTTGGATATGAATTTAACTTTTCACTAAGATCTTGCATGATTTCATTTTGATGTAATGTGATGTTTGTAACAATTTACATTTTTTACAGTTTCAAAGAAACAATTTAAATAATTTTATTGATATATCAATAAAATTCATACTATTACCAACCCTACATAATAACCCTTTAACCCAAACATGACATTTTTTGAAAAACCTATACTAACCAACTCATTCTGCTTTTGCTCCAAGGTGCTGTGCAGTAAATTCATAGCTTTCTCATGACTAAGTTTCAACTCTTGAATTTGATCCTCATGTTGTTCACGTAATCTGTAAAATATATTATTATTATTATTATTGTGGGCCTACTCTTGCCTAAGTACACAATGATAGAGACAAATAACTTAGTATCAGACAGAAGTAAGCAAGAAGTTAAATTAGTTTCTTAAAGTACAATGGTATATAAGATAGACTGGAATTTCAGAATCAGAGAAAAAGTAGGATTATTTTACGATTCACTTTTATTTACAGAAAAGCAAACCATATGTGCCAATTTTATGTCTTTTAAAAATGTTTTGCTTAGAGAATAGAAAGGCTCCGCCCACTGAAAAGACATTTCAGAATTTTTATCTTCTGAGACCAATCCAAATTCTCGCCTTTAATAAACGTACTTCCTTATTTAATATATATTACAGCAGGAGACACATACGTATTTCTACAGGCTTTCATAAGTATACTGTGTGAGAGAGTGTGGAATAGAGAGGTGAATTACCCAAAGGAATATCTGAGGTAACAGATGACTGGAACCAAAAAGTAACCACACTAATATTAAAATCATTGAGTGCTCCTTTTTGAAACTTTCCTTGTCACTTCTAAGTTAACACAAATTTCATATTTTAAAAATATTACAATATATAATTTAACAAACGTACCTTTGAACAGCTGCTTGTAGCTGTTGGCATCTCTGACACTCCTGGCCATCTAACACACATTGGGTAAGATTTGCCACCATATCTTGCAGTGTTGAACATTTTGAGCAAATAGCATTCCATGTTATTTCACTATCCTTTTTAACATTATTTTCCAAATTAACGGATTTTGTAGATTTTTGACCAGCACCAAGAGATACTTCTGATTCCATGCACTGTCGAAGCCTACAAAGACTTTCCTCCAGGCCAAGTAACGATTTCATGACTGTGTCAATGGATTCTTGAGATTTTGTACTTTTCTTTGGACTCTGCAATGCTTCAATAGAAGAATTACATTCATTTGCAAAATGCTGGTACAAATGTTCAAATTCTGTGCAAGCCAAAATTTCCAAATTGCAGCCTTCATCAGACAACAAAGGATCGATTTCCAAGAAGTTAGAAGCATCTGCAGAACTTCCTTCATTAACAACACTGGAAAATTCATTATAAGGACCTTCCTGTAGTAACAACGATATTCTAGCATCAATTAAAGCTTTGTGAGCCATCACATCAGAGAATTCTGAAAGAAGCCTACGAGATTCTTCTGCATCTGAATCACTATGCTTTCGCTGCCTTAGAGAACCTTTATGTTTCCACTTATCAACACAGTCCTCATATTTCTGAGTTAACTCTTCAATGCTGGATTCCATTTCTTGCTGAAGAATGTTCTCAACAGCATCAGACCATTGCTCTAAAATGGACCTATGTTTTGCCATGAAGCTAAATGTTGCTTCTTGCTCTGCAGTGAGCTGGGCTTCGTACAACTGACCACAGCGCATTGTGATATGGGAAATCTCTGCTTGAATAAGTTCCCTATTCACAGCTTCCTGAGCCATCTCCCAAGCCTCTCGAATCATTCGATCTTCTAGCGATGATGATGCCTTTTCGTTTCGATCATTTGCTTGACACCCTTCATCATTCGTGTAGCTCAGTGTTTCATTTGCTAACGATGCAGCTAATTCGCTCAACTTTGCTGTTTTGTAGTTGTGAACTGAATCATTTAATTCCTGTTGCCTTTTCAACAATAATTTAATGATACTTGAATTGGCGTTACTTGGAGATGCGGGAGGAGAGCTCTCTTTGACCACAGCACCAGAGTTTTGAAGTGCAAGTTTTCTCTGAAGGAGAAGTTTCTTGACCAAAACTTTCGTTAAGTATTCTACTGACGACTCACAGTGATGTTCTTCCTGATCATGTCCACTGAGTTTAGATTTCAAAGCAGAAATGAGTCTAGTGCTTTGCAAAATCTCATTGTCCATGACCCACTTCTTAAATTTACTTGTTCCATCTTCAGACTGCAATACTGACTGAGCAATCCTTTTTACTAATATTGTTTCATAAGCTAATTTTTCTGCTAAGAGGTGTAACTGAGCTTCTCGATCCAACTTATTACTTCTACGAAGAGCATCTCTTTTTGCTAACAGGAAAGTTAATTTTGTTCTCAACATGCTTTCTAAACGACTCACCACACACTGCACAGAATTCTTCACAGAATTTTCATCCTGTGGTTCCATGGTAACTTCTAAATCAAGCGGCAAGCACTGAGTATTGCACTCTTGAAGCATATCTTTGACTTCACAAAGCCTTTGCTCCAAAACAGCAAAGTTGTCCAACAAAGCACCTGTGTGGTTCATAGATCTGTCTTGAAGAGCTGTTGACATTAAATTAAGGCACTCCTGAACTTTGTCACGAGATTTAATAACTAAATCTTCTAGCTGCCTGACATACACACTTTCTTCAGGAGGATTTTCCTCAGATGGTGTTTCTCTTGGACTTTCAACATTTACAGCTACAGATTGGCAAGGTTCACTCTCAGGTTTGTAAATCAGTCCATCTTCAGAAACAAGTTTTTCCGTTGCTTTCTTTACTTTGGCTTCTAATGAACTCAAACGAATTAAAACTTTCATAGGTTCTGAGCTAGTAGCACTATCAAGAGATTTCCGCCTCAGTCTGGATGATGATGCTTTCAAAGTATCTCCCTTGGATGCATCTTCTGACTGTGACTTCTGAGGAGATTCGCTTCCAGGAGTCTTTGTAGCTTTGGGTTGCGTGACGTGTTTGCCTGTTTCTAAAGCTATTATCTTTGCTTCCAATTCACCCAACTTTTCTTCTAGTTCCTTGCATATTTGGAAAGATTCTCTCCCTTTCAAGGAAAGGGAGCGTCTCTTATCTCGAGATTCAGATTTTGTTAACTTCTGTTTTAGTGTCCGAACCTGAAATTCAAAAAGAAAAGTTAAGTAATATAGCTAATTTAGATAATACAATGTAGGGCTATGAATCCTAAATGTAGTTTCAGAAATACCTGTTTTTCTGCAGCACTTAGTTTCAATGTCAAATCTTCTATACGAGAAACCATCAGAGATGTTTCTGAGTTGTGGGCTCCTTCATTACTACTTGCTTCCTGGCGCAGACTAATACAGACTAGTTCTAAATCATCATATAATGCATGAGATTCCCGAAGTTCTCGTCTCATTGCTCTTATTTCTGCTACCGCTTTCTCAAATCTCCCTCTCAGTTCTTCATACTCCTCTAATAATCTGTAATACCAACAATAACAAATTGTAAGTTTTTTTAATAACTAGCCTCAATAAAAGGAATTTTATTACAACCTACTTTCCTTCAATTTTAGAATATGTAAAACAATTGCAAATTGTAAACAGAGATAATATTCTAAAACATACATTGGGGTGGGGACGGGGGAGGGAAAGGGAGAAGGAGGAGGGGAGCTCATGGGACTTGATACATATGAGCAAGCCAATGATATATATTCATAATATACAGCTTTTACTAATTTTCTATAATAATGAAAGTCATTCAGTATGCCAATTGTATGCTATAAGTTAAAATACATTTTGTATTCAGCATAAAGAAAAAAAATTTTTATAAGAAAACATTAAATCAGCTAAACATTAGACCTGCTGCCCCCTCAGAGTAAAATCCTAGGTGCACCTGGATTCTAATAGTGAGAGATATGGCAGACAGTTCTTACAAGTTGATCTCAAACTAAAATATGCTTTTTCCAGTATGTTATACGACTTTTGACAAATACAGCAAAAAAGCAAGTTTGTCAATTATTGAAATATTTTTGAACCAAACATTAACAACCAATATTATCAAAATTTTCCCAATGAATGGAATATGTGAAGTTTATGTGTAGTGTAAATTTGTTAAGGAAAGTGAAACAATGCGAGTACGTTCACAAGAGAAAAAATTCACAGCATACTAACCTTTCTCGGTCCATTTCACTGGGACTCATATCCAGCTCTATTTTAGTCAGATCACTCAGAGAATCCACACTCCGCCCTCGTTCCCGAGAAGCACTGAGTCCACCGCTTGTTGAGGAACTTCTACTGGGACTTCCAGCAGTGGCAACCTGATTTTCCAAATCATGTACTCTCTGGTACAGACTCTCATTTTCATCAATACCATGAGACAGTCGCTGCTGTAAGTTTGTGACTTCTTCTCTGAGTCTCAGAGAAACATTCTGTTCAGCAGACAACTCCCGACCCAAACGTTCGCACACCTGTGAGGTTTGTTCCAAAGCAGCTTCAGTAGTGTTGAGCTTGCGTTGCCACTCTTCAGAGTCTGAATGATACCTACAAGTAAATTTATCAATATTTTAGTTCGATTTATTGCATATTAAAATACAGAAGGTACCTGACTACAAAAATATTAAGAGAGCAGCAGTTGTATTTGCAACTAGTACTAAATTGTGAACTGTTCTCAAATTTGAATGAGATATGAAATATATAAATTTATAAATTATCTTGTGTTCATAAAAAAATATGATTCTTTGATAACAATTCCATAATATAATTTTGTTCTGAACAGGTTCAGAGCTTGTTTCATCTATCCACACAAATAAATACAAAATAAAGAAATTTATTATGTCTTGAGATAAAGAGAAAACTTGTATTTGCAACATTTTTGTATAATAACAAGCATTTGAGTGAAGCTAGAGAAAACAAAATACATAAGACAATTCCACTCCAGAGTTTATAAATGCTTACCTTTTAATGTTGCATAAACATACCACTGCAAATAGAAATTCTAAGGGGCAAAAGTAAGCTTACCTTTCTTGAATTTGTTGATACAACGATCTCCATTCTGGTCCTGATGTATGCTCACGCCATCGGGCAAGTAGTTCTTCATGTTCTTGTAGCAACACTTTGTAACTGCACACACAGCACAAAAAGACTCATGCAACATTCATCTAGCTCATTCCAAAGGCATTTGCAATGCAAACGATACAAAGCAGTGCAGGGAAATAATATCAAAGCAAGGCTGACCATATATTACAACTGTTATAAACACAACATTCCATAATCTCACAACTATTGATTATTATTTCAGAATTTTGACAGTAAACAAAGCTTCATAATCAAATAATTGTTTACATCATTACACTCTTAGCTATTGGATTACTAACAAAATGTACATTGAAACTTAAATTGAAATCTGGTGTACTCAGTGATCACTAGGAATCAGATATCAACATTAATACTTGTTCTTTCCATGTGTCAGAAAGTATGCAAACTTCAAATGTGCATAAAACACCCAATTTCTAATTATTTAAACATGATTTTCACATGCAAATTTTGTAGGTTGTTCTCATACTAACTTTTAAATTATTTTGGAACTGATGTTTCCCAGCAGATTGACTATATACATGTAGGTAACCAAAAAAATATGGTCAGCCCTTTCAAACACTAAAAAAAGCTGTATAATACATTTATTGTACATGGCACAGGAAATAAACAATTTTAAAAACCAAACAAATTCAAAGAATATTTGAACTTACTTTTGCTTCAGTTGCTCAAGTTCAGCCACTTCCAGAGTGCGCTGCTCTAGCTGCATTTCTGTATGTTGCAAAGATGCAAGAAGATCTTTCACCTGAGAACATAAAGAAGCAATTCATGAATGCAAATTGTAAATATGCAAGAAAGATGAGTGAATAAACAAAAACGGTAAAAAATGTGAATCAGACCAAGGAAGTAAACCATTCACATTGTTTGCTCTACAGGTCAACAAAATATTCATAATGAAGGATTTAATGTTAATGACTGAATAGCTACCTGTTTTTCCAAGGCAGCCATTTCATTTTTATGATGACGTAGTTTCAAAAGTTCTTTTTCGGCATTACCAACATCACATAATGCATTACTCAGTTGCCTCTTGAGTTCATCAATTTCGGTGGATTGACTATCTGCTGAGTCAAATAACGAACTCTTTACAGACTCCATCTGAAAAGAAGGAATAAAACATTACAAACAATTGTTCAAATTCTAATATCACAGAAAGCAAAGTTGTCAGTTACAGAAATCCAAAACAAGGCTTAAATTTCTTCAGGAAAATGATGTGGTAATGTATTTGATAATATTAACAATGGTAGGTGCACTGCAAAATTTTCTCATGATATTAATACTACTTACTCCTGTACTTTCCTCTGCATCTGATTCGGGCACTTCCCCACAGCATGCCAGCAACAAGTCATCAGGTCGAACCGAATCAAGAGTAGATCTCCTTGAAGATGGAGGAGAAGATCGCGATCGCTTATACACACGAGACCTGTAGACAGACCAGAACAAAATCTCCTTAATTTATGCTTCAACCATCTATACATAACAGCTCACTGCAGGCAAAGATATAAAATACTTGTAAAAATATAATTAAAAAACACAACAACATGAAACTTTTTGAGCTGCAAGTTCCTTTGGCACTCACCTCGCCTTTTCTTTCACTCTCGAAATGGGAGTCCTGTTCAAAGGTGGTGACGGAGGCAAAGGGGTCAGAGGCTCCCCCCAGTCTTCACTCTCCCGCCGGCCTCCCTCAGATGCTGTTCGGTACTCTTCATCAGAAGAGAACAGCACCGAGCGTGGAGTGAGGGGAGTACTAGGCACTATGGATGGTTCTCGTTCTGAACACACAACTCTGCAACATATTTCAATACTTTTAATATGATTTATGATTTTATTCAAAAATACTGAAACAGATGGGCAACCTTTAACTCTTATTTTCCATTCCACTCCTGTATTGTTTAAGTACTCAAAAATGTTAACAATTGACATTATTAGTACCCATCATATACATATTATATTCCTATAGTAGAATTAAAAATTACTTTTTAGAATTCTCTCATATCTTTCCTTAATGTATCATTTCTGCAAATAAATACTATCCATTTCAAATTAAAACATCAACTACTACTACTTTTACCAAAAAAAATATTTTTTCTCTGTTATATTTTCTGTCGACTGTCATAAAAACTAAAAAACTTTGAGACCTTAAAGTTTACATTAATGAAAACAATGCATTCACATTAAAATGTCTTTAAATAAATATACAACATAAGTAACATAAAGAGCTTACAGGGTGGCTATTCATTTCCTGGACAAAAAAATTCCCTAACTTTTCCAGGTTTTCCAATGCAATTTGCCCTATTGATAAGATTTGTAGAGTATTTCACACTACTTTTAAAAAAATATTGAAGCAAGACTGGCACTAATTTGTCAGCACTCCAATTTCACTGTTAAAAAGTAAAAATTAATAAAATTCTCAACAAAAAAAAATTAAGTCAATATTATTTTTAAGGAATAATATCTGGTTACATAATTTTCAAAATTTCCCTCAACTTCTCAATTCTTCTACAATTTTCTTGATTTTTCCCAGACTTTTCAAGAGCACAATGTAACTTGCTATTTATTCCTGGATAAAGGCCACCATATAAATAAAACTAATACAATAGATCAGACCTACGAAAAATTATCATCTTTAATTCGCTTGTCTTAAAATTACTGAACATAGTTCCTCAGTGTTCTAATGTTTTTAATTTTTTTGTAGACCATCTTTTCATTAGCATTTTTTCACTAAAAAAACAGAGGATCTCAAATTAGCAATTACAAATGAATAACACAACTATTAATAAAATATAGAGGCAGTGATATCACAAAAACAAAATATGTTCATATATTGAATAAGATATACAACAATACACATAAAGTAATATTATTTCTGAGGTAATGTTTTGAGGAAAGAGTCTACAAGTATATTATCATACAACACATGAACTAGATAAATGAGACATTCATGAAATAATATTGGTCCTACATAATATAATTAAAAAAGTATGGAACTATTAATGCTATTACGAAGAAGTAGAGAAATTAACAACTTACGGGACTTGAGTGGTATCCAGTTCGCGCTCAAGCTTTTCCCCAACACTAATAGTTGATCCATCAAGTACATTTGGTTCTTGCAGGCCTGCTGCTCGTCGAATTGCAGACATCCAGTTATTCCGAATACCAGCTGTCACTGCTGAGAGCACATATCGCCGTTCATCCCACGACTGCAAGAATACATACATTTTACCAAATTCAGAACACAGTAATTCATATGAAAACATGCTATCATATAAAAATAGAAATAATGAATAATATCAAATTACATAATTTTGAACATTCTGTAATTAATCTCAAGTATTATTTTGTGATTACTTATTTACATGTCACTTTCTACAATATTGTAATTACCTTACTGTGAAGACTTACAGGTTCTAGCATTTCAAGTTAATTCAATTTTGAAAATACCCTAACCCCACATTATTTCGAGACAATGAGAATTAAAACAATATTTCTTCAAATTCTGTTTCAAAGGAGGAGTTATTTACAGACATCAGAAACGTCTACCTCAACGCTAGCGTGCTTCACACTCCTCGTGTTTCTCCAATGCGAACTACGAGAACTCAAGAGCATTGCCTCTGCCACATCACACACCATTTCACAGAGTGGAGTGGAGTGGAGGGGATCAGAAAATGGGATGGGAAAAGCACAGAACAATGAGACCCACCTACCCGCACAAGCAAGCTTGGCCTTGACTTCTCTCTAATGAGCTTGGGAACCACACACAGCTTTGTGATATTATACACAGGTAGAAAAGTGGCCAAGGTTCAAAGCATTACAAGTATTTATGATTTATCATAGAAAATAAGATCTAATTAATTTCAAATTGTCTAAAAACAACAACAACAACAACAACAACAACAACAACATTCAATTAAATTGAAAAGCTTATTATCTATTAAAAGTTTAAATCAGCCAGGAACACACTTTAAATCTTATTTTTTCCCTTCTCAGAGATAATTTGGAAAAAAAATTAGAAAATGATTAATTGAAAATTTAATCCCAAAAATACGTTTTGGAGATAATTCTTTTTTGTTATTAGATAAGCAAACTTTTATAATTGTCCTCACTGGAATACCCTCACACTAATTATTTATTGTGGAATTAAAACAAATTCTCTGAATTTGATTTTAATAATCACAATAAGTGAATCAGAATTCCAATACAGTTCTGTTGTTATTAAATATTTAAATTCATTTACTGTATTTATAAACACTTTGATAACATAGAATGGCAGTACATAAAAAGCATAACTTGTAGATAATGTATCCGACGGACAACACTCAAACATGGATTTCTTTAACAATTCACAAATTCAATTTTACAAAACAATTGTTACAACACAAACATACCGTTGCCTGAAAGCCATAATTTCTGACTACTTGTACTTCTGACACACTGCGGACACCACTCAGATCAAGCACACCATCTAAGATGCCTTTATCTTCAGCAGATGGATCTCGATAGTACATGAGAGCAGTTCCTCTCAAAACAAACCAGTGCTTGTTGAATTCCTGTATAGCATCAAACTTTGTTACAAAAGAACAAGTACAAGAATCACACACCACATTAAACATAACGGTACACAGAATTATTTCAAATCTGAATGTTACATATAATAAAAGAAATATTAATTTATGATCACAATAGCCAATGTCCTTAATCATTTCTATTTACCAATATTTCTTACAGTATGATCAGTGTTGTAATTTGGGGATGGGAGGAGAGTTAAAGGAACTTCCCCCAACTTCACAAAACAAATTCAGAGTTTTAGATTTTACTAATCTAAAAAGAAAAATAAACCTATTTTAATTGTGTATGTTTTTCATTCACACTATTTAAATTAAATGTTAAAAATTTGTTAACATATTATGAATTAGAAAGAATTATCTACAATTTTATGCTTATTTGATATTGCTTCACCACAATGACTAAATCAAGACTGAATTGCCTAACAAATTTTCTAACAATCTAACATAACTTAACTGAACTGATTTACTGTCAAAAGTAAACTGAAATACTTTTGATGATAATTTTATTTGTATAAATATTTCAAGTAAATAACTTTGATTGGTAAATTTTTGTTCTTTTTATCCTCAGGAAAATAAATTTAACTAGAGATATGGGCAATTTAGTTTCAAGAGAATGAAACAAAATCATGAAATATCTCGCAATTATTTGAAACCTATAAAAAACTATAAATTAATAAACAAAAATAGTTTTAATGTTTGAATAAATGCAAAATGTCTGCATAGATGGATTAAAACATATGTTAGTTGGACAACAATCTCCCCACAACACTCAACAGTCTTCCCCAACAAAAGGAAAACCAGAGTGCCCCATTTAAATTTATTAAATTTATTTACAGTCTTCTAAATACAAATAATTACAAATTATCTGCTGAGAAAATTCATATACCCTGTGAGCTTGTTATATTATATATGTTGTTTTTTCCTCGATCAGTACAACGTTAAAATAATGCTTATTTATTTTTATGTACAAGTCATATTTGAAGCTACAAAAAACAAAAAAAGATTTTGAAAGAAAACATCTCATTTTGTTGGAGAATAAATTAAAAATGCTGCTGTTTAATAATTTATTCCCTCACTTTTCCTAAAAATTAGATTTAAGAGCAAAAACCATCATTAACACTTACTTTGTTCAAACCCTGCTTCATAAGCCAACCCTTCTTTATATTAAGCAAATCTTCAGCAGGAAGATCCACTCGAAGTTCTGAACTTGGTGAATATCGCTGAGATGACAAGTCAAGGCCACAACCATCAGGATCTCCACGCACCTATAGATTATTAATTTATCATTAAGATCTGAAAGCTGGGAGATTATATATGTGCACTTACATAATGGGAGATGGGAAATCATATATGTGCATAAGATAAGACATGATGATGGACCTTTTTTAAGAAAAACAAATATATTTCCTGAAAACGAGCAGAATAATAATTTATGGATCTGCCATATATTTAATATTATTAATTTAAAAAACAAAAACCATCTAGTTACTAGTTATCCTGTTATCTTCACTTAAAGAGGAGACGAGTATGTTGATTATCGTTCTACATTTTGTAAATTCATCAAAGAGCACTATGTCAATTTTACATGGTGCTCTGAGATGAGAGCTAAGCTACAATGCTAGAAGTTAGAGATGTCAAGGACAAGTGCGATTTTGAAACAATTGCACAATTGCATCTTCGATTGCTACATCATGATTTAGCCAGTAAGATTCCTAAGAGATAGCCCATTTAGACAGAAACGGGCTTTGAATCCATAACTTTGTGTTTCTTACAGGAAACATTGAAACTAGTTCTACTTTCAACCTTGTTTAGAAATGTCCACTACTTACCAGTTTATCACCAGATGCATCCGGCTGATCTGTCCCTTGTATATTTTTCTTTTGATCTTCTTCACTACAGTCACTGTCACGTGTAGGCTTCACTACACCTGCCAGACCTCGATGGTAACCTATACCTTGGTGTCGTCGGAATCGTGGTCGAGTAATAGAATCGGCTATATCTTTGAGCTTCTCATCTCGTTTGCTTTCATCCTCATAATCAAAGAGAATTCGGCGGGCCACATCATTGTCCCCTGCAAAATCAACCATTTAAGTAAACTGAAATTACTCCTTATAATTAGGGCTGTACACTAATGGATCACATTTCTACTTAGAATATCTTATACATTTTTGTCAATGTAATAAAATACCACATTTGCAAGAAAATTTGCATAAACTAATTAAAACAGCCAGAATGTGTTGATTGAGACTAAAATGAGATTGGAAGAAAACTTTACAGCTACAAATTAGGAAAGCAGGAGGAGATAAATATCCAGGTCAATGGGACAATAATAATAATAAAATTGACCAAACAAAAGTGATGCAAAAGTTTCAGTTATGGAAGGCATGAATAAAAATGGAACAACGTAGAATAAAATGTTAAGAAAGTACAAAGATATTGAAATTTTGAAGTCCTGGCAATTGGATTTTTGAATTACCCCTGTAATAATAAAATCCATCTTACTGGGTTGAAAATCTGTTTTATGTTTTGGCTGTATCAGATATATTGAACGCAAAATGTTAGTCTCCTGAGGTTCACCAGACTTGACTGTATTGTACTAAGAAAAATTATAACATGAAACAGTGACTCAAAATACTAATGATAGAATGGCTATATCATCTAATTTTAAAGAGAGCATTGCATCTTTCTAAGCATTGGATATAAAGAATAATGCTTACTCTGTGGGTCAGTAGGAGGTCTGTGGCTGTCCTGCCACCCAGGAAGCATCCCGCTGAAGTCTTCGGAAAAGCTTCGGCCCGATCTCACTCCTCTCTTCTCCCTGTTCTGCACACGGCGAGTGCGCGCCTTCTCTTCACTCTGGATTTTGTCTCTGGTGGGAGGGGAGGCTGAAGAGGCAGGTTGATCATGGTAAGCTATAAAAATTGTACACAGCTCACTATTTACATCTAAGACTGCATCATTTAAATCAATCCCATGCACTGGTGTATAAAGAGCCAGTGCTACATGGGGCCTTTGTGGAAGACTGCCATCTCTAGGAGAAATAAATAATAATAATTTTTAAGAAAAAAAGCAATCTAGCTCTACTAGATCAAATGGTAGCACAGGAAATGAAGTTAAGGTGAAAAGCACCAACAGTGGAGAGATGGTAAAAATAGCAAAGAAAATATTTTGGATGAAGAAGTCAATGCCAGTAGAGTTGAGGCATGTTCACGGCACATTGTTCATCAACGTACATCTTGATTAGGATATTGGTGCAACTTGAATACTGGCATGTAACATGAAAACTACCAATGTATCACTCCCCTATCCTTTGCCTAAACTCTGCCAGTACAAGAAACGATATGACTGTTCTATGAAATGAAAGCATCATCTCTTTTGGACAGATATATTATTAGTTCTTACTAATTAGGATGCCTTCAACATTGACAAAATTGGGAATTCATTTATATTGTAATGGAATTCACTATGAAGATTCAAAGATAATTTTCAACATTTCAAAAGGAAGAAATAATAGAAAATAATACCTCAATAAAAAATATTAAATGCTAAAGAAATATAAACACAAAAATGTAGTCAGTCTGTGATGAAATCAAAGAAAAGAAAATATTAAAGTTTACATTATTTCCACCTCCCTCCTGTATATTTGTATCCACAATTTTACGACTTTTCAATCAATTTCTTCACCTTTGCGTGTATCCACTGGAGCAGATGCAGGCACTCTTGGAGGGGTGTCTGTCACAACAGGGCTGACATCTCTTGTGGGATACACATCTCCTTCAACTTGCAACCAAGAACTCGATGGTGGAGTGTGATGAATTGGCCGAGGCTCAGAATGACAACTGTTGAACCTTGGACGAGACTCCTGAGGCGTTGACGCTAAAAAATTGTGCGTTATTAGTGACCAAATTATGAGGAAAGTTTTGAGAGTATGCAATTGATTAATGTTTTATTTTTTTAAACCTTTTGTATTCTTTTTTTGCTACATCTTAAATTTACATATTTATGCAAAGAATTGTAATGAGAATGACCATTATTTTATTTTTTTAAACCTTTTGTATTCTTATTTTTTGCTACATCTTATATTTACATATTTATGCAAAGAATTGTAATGAGAATGACCACAAGAAATATGAATCATTAAAAATCCTTCTAAAACTTACCTCTGATGGTTGGGCTGGGTTGATGTATGCTTGTCGATTGTCCTCCAGGAAATGTTGCATTGCGTTTATGTCGACCCTGCAATACATAAAAGAAGGTTTTAGCTGCTGTCACTATTGGGACTTGAATGGAATGGAATATTCATTCCACACTCCACTCAAAAACTCACGACATATTCCAGAACAAACAAATCTAGGTCTCTAAATGACAGGTTGTACTTGCCCATACTCTCTCCTAATGCATATGTCAATTTTGAATAATTATTAAGAGAATCTTACAATGACAGACCTCTCACATGAAGAGAGCTAAAAGACTACGCTTTCCAAGCATGGTTGCCAAGAAGGCTATGACATCAGCAGGCTCTCCTCACAGAACAAGGCTCAATGTAGAGATGATCACATGCAGAACTTTAACAGCTGCTCCCACACTCCCACAAAGGAAAATGAATACTCACAGAGGTAATCTCCTGCAGTTTACATAACAAATTGGAATAAGACCTGTAGCATTAATTTGAATAACATTATTTTACTTTTGGATAAAAATATACAGTATTGACTAAGATAACATAATGCAAAAGAAAAATGTCTATGAAATTAAACTTGAAAATAGAACATTATAATCCAAACAAAATAAAGTGAATATTATGTTCCGAGTAGAAAAATTTACAAAAATTATATTATGTTAGCAATTACTATTAATTGATAGAAATACACAATAGTGATTATTTGAGAAAAGTAGTTCAAACTTTCAACCTACATTCATTAAAGGTTATTAAACCATTACCATCAGATGTGTCACTGAACATTCCAAATACACGTTTTGATTACCTTCTAAAATTATTTGTCAATTTGTGTTCACATCTTAGTTGCTTTACAAATGAAATTACACAACAGCTCAAACTACTAAATTGCAAACTAAAATGCTTGCTGACACGAGTGCGTCAAGTAAATGCAATTCATTTAAACGTTTCACACCATTACACACAAATCACTTAACCGTCAACTCCTACATCAATGTGGTGATGCAACCCTCACGCCACGACAAGATCTTCTCAAATGGCTGTGAAGCCCTCCACAAATGTAATGCAGGAAACAGTCAATTTGGCCGTTACCAATCTACTACGTTGACGTCATCACTCCAGTACTCCCACACATTACCCATTACAGAATCAGTTCCCTTACTAGAAACATCAAATGTCAGTTCTGTGGAACTTTTGCTCGTGTAGACGTAAGTATAATTTGGCTGCATCAAATTTATTGCCAATAATACAAACGAAAAACGATTCTAGTAAAGTAAAATAGAACCTGCAAGAAGTATGCAATTGTATTAGAAAAACTGTCAGAATTGGTTTAGTAATCATAATATTAAACCGTTATGGAGACATCATAGCAAAATTGAGTACGTTGACATCGCGAGTTAACTCACTAACACCAACGACTTTTATTGCAGCACCATTTGCTACTTAAGATCTCAACAGTATGGGCGTTATCTCTTGAAGAGCTTGTTAGTGTCAAGATTAATAAAAATGAGCTGCAATTGCCTCGCAGATGCACTGAATTGGCACATCCTAATCCCCAGAGCGCATCATGCGACCCATTCTTAAAGCGATATCTCACCGAGCACTCGTTCGTAAAGGAGGTGCCGTCAGAGAAATTACCGAAATTGTCCATAGCCACCGCAATTGGGATCCTAAAATAAGGGGAGCTAGGGAAACAAAGCCCCCGTACAATTTCTTTGTTGCCAGGAGGGTTTCAAAGGTTTGGAACAAGAATATTAAATACTGACTTGAGAACATTTTATGTATCAAACACAGCATACCGAGGATTTTTTTCGAAGACTTGGAGGAATCGAAGACTTGGAGGAATCGAAGACTTGGAGGAATCGAAGACTTGGAGGAATCGAAGACTTTGAGGAATTGAAGACTTTGAGGATTTGAAGAATTTGAGGAATTGAAGATGGCGAGAGATGCTGAAAAAAAGGGATTCGAGACATCGAAGTGGGCTCACCTTGGAGCGCGGGAAGACGGAGAGAACGTCGCTCCAGCTCCGGTACTCCTCGCGGCACGTGCCCTTGACGAAGTGCACGCGGTCGGGCGCCGTGATGGCCAAGCTGAAGGCGTTGCCCGTCACCTCCTCGGCGTCCGCCACTTCCAGCACCTTGTTCATGTCGATGCTCGCCTGTGGCACCGTGTCGGGCTGCAACACAAACACGCAAGCGCATATTAGGAGTTATTTATTTACTGACCAATACCAACACGCTATACTTCAATAGGAGTAATTGAGGAATCGCTAGACTCGGGATATTGAAGATTGGGGGAGGGGAGAAAAACTACATTAAATACACACGAGTAGTTGAAATTTGTGACCCTCTAGACAGAGACGCACTGTGGGAACATGATTTACTTATTTATTAATTTATATAATAAAATTTGTTCAAAGAAATTTATTCTGCAGGCGTAAAGACATCCAAATTGCGACCATGTTACTGAGTAATTTAATTATTAAAATGTTACTCAATAACTGTCACAATTTGGATGTCTTTACGACTGCGGAATATAATTCTCCGAGTGTAATTGCGTCCAAGAAGGTGACGGGAATGGTGACAATTATTTATTAATTCATATATTTAATTTATTTATATAATTTATTTTTTAATTTATTAGTTTAATTTATTCCTTTATTTATTGTCAAAGATGTGTACGACTTGGAGGGGAAGAGAAGTCTTACATTTGAAGCTAACATTTAGAACGATTTTAAGAAAGAATCTTCTCAGTATTTTCTAAATGGAGTAAGAGAAATTGGACGAAAATTACTGTCAAAATGCTGAAGTTAACACCCAGAAATCATGAGCATATTCAGACTTTTAGAATTACACAACTCAAAACATAGCAAATACTACTCTACCCACATGAGTATTGCATTAAACATTTGTGGTCTTCGCTCCCGCCAACGCCAGAGCGCCTTACAGTATGCAATTCGCTGCACACTGAAGAAGCGGTAGTTGCGTTGCTAGGCATTGGCACCGTCACTTCTCCAACATGCACTTCCTGTATAAGACCTCACGAGCACACGATCGTCGTATCTAAATCGGAAAAACTTCGTAATCGATATTTCACACCAGCTATGCAGTAATCGGCTTCGACTCAGTTACTCCGCTGGCGCCGGCAACTTGCCACCTTCGAAATTTGAACCTAGAACCACGGTCATTTGCGAAGTAACACATTCAGAAGCAAACGTATGAAATAACCCGGCATCAGTATCTGCGTTAGGAAAAGCCACACCTAACTGTCTAGAGTACCGGTGGCTGGGAGATGACTGGTTCGGAAATAGTCTGATACCAGACATTTGCTTAGTACGTTAAACACAAGCCAATTTACGGCACCTGCCGGAATCGAGTTCGTAGGCCAACACCTCCATCGATGGTCAACGTAGTTTCTTTAAGGACTTCCACGGAAGGCTGGAGCAGCACTGTGTACAAAGGGGCCACGAACCGCGTGGGTCTCTTCCTATCCATCTCCGCCGATCTAGGAAGCCGCTGCTGTTTAAGGGATGCTTATAAAATATAGAAAATGTTCTGCTCAAATTCCATTGAACTACCCTTGGGTGGGGAGGGGGCTCATACTGTAATAACAAATACACCTCCCAGCGGAGGGACCATGGTTCCACTTCCGGCGAATCCATGTAAAAATGTATGGTGGGTAAAGAGAACGTTCTCACCATACTTTTAAGGGGTTCTCCGTTTCCTCTGACTCTCATTCGACCAACCTTCTACCATAATTCACTTCTTTATCATTATCCCTGTTATCTATTAGATCACGACTCAACGGTATCGATGACATTAGCAGATGAAGGTCACTTAATCGCAATAAATTATATAGACATTCATAGACAAAATGAAAATACACAATATACGATAGCTGCTAAATCTATGACCATGTAAAGGTATGGAAAATGGATAATGAAAGAGAAGGACAAACAAAAAGTTTAGGCAGCACTGTGTATGCGAGGTTTACAAGACGCCCATTGGGAATCACAAGAAGAGACAGGCTGAGATATGATGTTAGAAAAAAACTAAAACAAAAAGGTCTAGAAGAAGAAATACAACTATTATTTTTAACGAAATTGAAAGATCACTTAAATAGAATCAACAACAGCAGACAGCAAAAGTGATCTGTAAGTACAACCCTGCAGGAAAAACGATATAAAATAGAAGCCCACAAAACAGAGCAACAGCAGGAACACTTGAACCACTGAATCTACCAAGAATACTCTAAACAAAGTATACTTTGATTTTTTTAAGTGGTCGATGGCATTAGGTCTTCTTTACACCTCCTACCTTATGAAATGAATCTTTTTAACACTGGTAAGCACATTTCTGAGGCCCCAAGTTTCGTTGAGAAGGGCGTTCGCGGATTTATTAAACAGATTCCTTTTGTACGACAGGAGATGTAAAGAATGATCTAATGTCATCGTGCACTTAAACAAAAAAGAAGTATAATGGAACCTTCTCTAAAGCCTAATCTCCGACAGTACATGACAACGACGACGACGACGACGATGATGATGGTGATGATGATGATGGCTGAGAGCCTCACCCTCGGGTGGCGGCGGGCGGCGGCGGCGGCCGGGCGGGCGGCGGCGGGCGGGCTGCGGCCGGCGCGGCGGCTGCGGGCGGGGCGCGCCACCACGCGCGCCGCTATGGGCATTGACCCACAATCCCCCATGACCCTCCGCCGGGCGCTTCCGATCGGGCGGAATGTATAACGAGCGCCGGCTCAGGAGATGCCCCCCTCCCCTCCCTGCCAGCACTCGCCGTATACATATTCATTTTCCGCCGCCGGCGCGCGCCGCCTTCTTCGACGATCGGCCCGCACGGCCAAGCCGCCGCTAAACAACCGCCTCCGCTCGCTTCCCCCTTTCCCCCTCCCCCTCCTCTCCCGCCCACCCACGTACTGCATGGCCCCCGAAGCACAAGATCGTGTTGGCTCCTCCTCCCCTCCGAAGCAAATTCCTCCAGATTTACTAAAAAACGCTAATTATAATTATATAGCATTTTTGTACATACGCACATGGACATTATCGAAGTTTTTCCTCCCTCCCTCGCTCTCTCACTCTCTCTCTGTATGTGTATGTGTATATATCTGAAGTGGGGTTCGAAACCACGATCCTGCGAGTCAACACAGCTTAGGTACAACCACCTGCGATAAGGTGATTGATCCTAAGCAGTCTTGTCTCGGAAGAATCGTGGGTTCGAATCCTGCCTCAGGCATTGATGTTAGGTTTCTGAGTAGTGGCATGGTCAGGGCCCTTATCCATACCCCCATGTATCACCTCAAGAAATAACCTTTCTTTCCCGACACTACCCCGCCTCGTTTAGAAGTAGGTAGGACGATGCCAAACGGCCAGACTGCCTGCGGACAGGTGGAGTAACGCGCTGTCAATGGGTCCACAGGACCAAGATTTTGCTATACAACCCTAAAGCAGTTCTAAGAGAATCTCCGGGCCCGTGGGTCACAGACGGCTTGTGTATGTACGAGCCATAAGCGGCACTACGACCTCGGCAGTGCCAAGGAGTGAGAGGTTCATGCAAGTCCGTCAGAGGCGAAGGGCAGTACAAATGCCGAGGGCTGGAGACGGCGGTGAAGTCCTAGCGGAAAGACGCCAATGCTAAGAGTACGATATATTTTTATTTAGATAATTTTACGGATGAAATGTTTTTGAATATTCTATGATTTTTGTGGGTGAGGGGCGCTCCCCCCACCTTGAAGGCCAGTGAAAACTGGTCACTCTCGCTGCTTATTTTGGTCATGGGTAAATCCGGTCCCCTGTGCGCCCCTCAGTCTCGAGTTGTCGGGAAGGATGACGGCGGAGGGGNNNNGGGGGGGGTCTAGGGAAAGAGAGGGTTGTGGGGGAGGGGGGACAGAATCAGGTGGAGAATAGCAGTGGTGGCATGTGCCATTAAAAGTCGGTGGCTCGCAACAGAAGCCGGAGTGGTTCATAAACAATGCGGCGAGATGGCCCAATTGTCTCCATTAATGAATTAAGCAGTGCGTGAGATACTGCGGATCTATTCTGGCTGCTAAGAATATACGAAAGCAGTCAAGAACTCCCCAAAACGTAATGGAAGTGGTGGCGCTCACTCCGTCATGGAGATAAATTGATGATTTTTTTTTACTTTTCATACAATTAACAATACTTTATTACTTCTTAGAACTGATGTTTCGATTGTTGGTTTGGCTGTGAATGATATTTTATTTAAAAAAGTGACATTATAATAGGTTGACAGAAAACTATACAATGAATTTTACAAAGATATAATGTATTTTTGAATCAACGTATTTGTTTTTCATCTCAGTTGAAATTGGTTTCAAGAACACCTGGTGGCAGCGAATTTGCCTGCATTACACCAATGGTCACGGAAGAGAAGGAAATTAAAAGCAATACGAGCACAAAGAGACAATAGACGATCGTGTGGCAGGAGCGTGCCAAGGAAAAAGACTGGGGTATGGGAAAAGAGAGGAGTTTACAAGAGGAGAGGTCGTGGTAGAAGGGAGTGGCACAAGGAGACGGGAGTTCCATTCGAATACTCGAATGTGAACGTAATGCAATTTATGAAGAAGAAGAAAAGACGAAAATAAGACGAAATGCAGAAGAAAGGATGAGGAAAAAAAGAAGGGAAGAAGAAATAGAAGAAGAAGAAGAAGAAGAAGAAGAAAAGAAAAGAAAAAAGAAGAAAAGAAAAAAGAATAAAAGAAAAAAGAAGAAAAGAATAACTCTTCTTCTTTTATTCCTTTCTAATGAATAAGAAAAAAGTAAAAAAGAAAGAAAAAAAAGCGAAGATATAAATGAAGTGTTTTCAGTGGCGCTGGCAGCTTTTCGCAATGGTTCTCATCGCAACAGTTCGTTGGCGGGCGCCTGCTGCCCATTACTGCGAAGGGAAGGGCGAGACTCCACGCGTCCCCAGCGGCGGCGCCCAGGGCCACGGCCATCACGGCGGCAACAGTAGCGGAGGTGGGGGGGAAGGGGGGGGGCGACGGAGGAAGCGGAGCTCCTTGGCCCACGCAGCCCAGCGTTTCGCCTTCTGGTCGGGCAGTCTCTGCCCTTCCCTCTCTTCGTCCCCTCTGGGCGGGCACGTCCGCAGCCCCCTGATTACGCGGCCCCCGCCAATTAGCGATTCGTGGAAGCGGCGTGCCTCGCCACCGCCGTATAGTGCTGCGGCCTCGCGGCGCGCCCGTTCCCTCCCCGCCCCGCCACGCGCGCCTTAGGTGGCGTTTCCGCTGTCCCCGCGAGGCGGTCGGCGTATAGTCGTGCATATGACACATTTCAGCTGTTGCGGTTTCATCCAATAGGGAGCTTATATGTCGCTATAGTGGCGTCAGTATGGGAACCTTCAAGCTCCCGATTGGCTGAAACCATGAAGAGTTGATTTACTTCAAATACACGGATAAATAAAATCCCAGTATACTTGTGCGTCGACGGGGCTACTGCCTAGGTGCTTAACACAGGGAGAACTTCCCCTGGTAAAGCATAGGTGCGGGTGCATAAGCACAATAGACAATCTACTGTCACCTCGAGTGTCGGAACGACAGCGCGGAAGTTTACAATTCGGATCGGGATGCGACAGCGCACTTTCAGAGGGGAGGGGTGTTGTGTATGTTTCTTAAGAGGAGGAGAGACGTCAAATGCATGAAAAACATTACATGGAACATACAATAAATTATATTACATGCGCTGATTTGCGATTGGACGAGACAGAGAGACCTACCGGTTCCGTTCGCCATTGCATCCAAACCTCTTCTCAGGTATAAGACAACCATGCACAGCCACTGCCCTAGTCTCTAGGTTCTGGCTGCTGCTACACTATGACATGATTCAAGTGTGGGTGGTAGAGGCGCTGATTTAGTTAAACACCTCTTTATCTAGCGGGGAGGATAGCAGCCACATACCGTGATAAAACCTTGACTATACTAACGGGACTTGGCTATAACAGTTGAAATGTCCGGAAACACCAAACAAT